CTGCCAGCTCAGGTGTTCTGTTACCGTACAGATGGTCCCAGCCGAAATCCTGCTGAGGTCCTCCTGCCGCTGGAGCTCGGCAAACAGAGACTTCCTTAGCTGGAAATAGTATCCGAAAGCAATCCTGAAACCAGGCTACCATAAGGCTTGTGTGTCCCACTTTGCCAGGACCCTGTGCGCAGAGGGGACAGGGAGACTGAGCGGAGCAGAGGCTCCAGTGCAACGCTCCTGCCTGGCAGCTTGCCTCTCGGGTACCCCAGCACTCATGCAGCCGTTTGCTTTGCAAACATGCTCTGGAGAAATCAGCAGTGGGTGACAGCTCACCTACCAACTTCCTATCTCAAGGGCATGCGGAAATGTGAATTCAGCTCTTGCTCACTGTAAAGAAAGATAGGGGAGTGAGTAATCTAGTCAGCCACAGGGTACTTCAGCTGTCGACATCAGGAGAACCTGGTTCAGATAAATCTCCTGCCCCCAGCTAAATCTGTCCTATGAACCCAGTCCATTTCTTAGACCATTCTCGCCATCATGAAACCAAAGACAATAGCAATGTGGCAGTCTCAGTCTTCTTAAATATTGAAGAGCAACATCAGAACTGTGTGTGGCTGAACGAGGTCCAAATTCCCTCTCCTCTCCCTGTCTTCTCTCTATGAATAAGCAGTTCCTGATCTCACTGCTGAAAGCTTGTGGCTCTCCCGTCCCCCAGTGCCACATTTTAATAAATGTTCACTCTCCATTTCTGTCGGTCACACAGGCCGCACTGGTATCCGGTCACAGAAGGTAGTTTGTCACAGCAGTCATGAATTCCTTTCAACCTCAAGCAGCCAAATATCCAGAGAGCCCTAGTTTAAAAATTTCCCACAACTTTAAAATATTCCAGACTGCCTTCAAAATACATGGCCATGCTTTGTGTGAGAGCGCCAAGAGGAAGGTAAGCAAATATGTGAACGATTAATCATTTCCTGGCTGACCTGAGTAACGTGAGATGCCCAGAATGTTGGCATATTCCAGCTGAATGGGGACACAGCTCTTCTGGGGAGCCCCAGCCCTAATTTCAGAGCTAATTCTGACTTTTCATTGCTGTGACACCATAAATCTGGACGTGTTCAGAGTCTTTGTACTAGTGTTATGTCATGCACAGTCTTTCTGGAGTGCCAGAGGTGAACTGGAAACTAGTTTTCTAAAGCCACATACACAGTAGAGACTTCCTATGATAACTGAGTTTTGAAGAGTTCTCATAGCATTGCAAAGGTAATGTCCCCTCAGGTGAGCATTAGGTGCCACTGAGGCCAGATACTGAATATAGCGGGGAGTGTAATCACCCTGCTAAATGCTTTGTTATGAGAGCAGTATCCCTGGCAGAGAAGAGGGCCAGAAGGAGAGCTGAGGAGTAGAAGAGGGGAACGAGAAGGAGGTGGGTTTCATCTTGGGCACAGCAGCAGAGAGGATAGGCTGCCAGCCCCCAAGGGAGCACAGCAGCTTGGGCAACATATTGCTAAGTGGGCTCTGAGTTTGCATTCTACTTTTTCCAGATTTCCTTTAGTTCAAGTTTTGTAAAGTGACCCGTTCTTTTAGAGTAAAAGTCTTCTAAGCTTGCCTAGTGTAAGAATGATCTGGCTCTGACAAGCCCAAAGCACAGTATATCTATCTCCTGAGTTAAAGCAAACCGGTCCAACCGGCTATGGAGGCAAACCCCTTGCATGGCTGCAGCGTTGGCCAAATTTGGGAATTCAGGAATCTTAACATCTGCAAGGGTCACTAAGCACCAGGATTTGGAGAGAGCATGTCCCTGCATCCAAGAGAGCTTTTACTGGGCGTAGTCGTGTTTGTTACTGCTTTCTGTGGAGAAGAGCTGGATCCATGTCACTTGACCCCACAGGCCAGTCTGGAAGCATGACCGTCCCCATTCAAGAGAAGTGAATGGCAGAGGTGTGCTCACCTGTGCTGGGGTGGTGCTGTGAGTCCCCCAGCAGAGCAGAGAGGACCTTTGGGGACAAGAAGAGCTGCTCACCTCTGAGAGATGATTGGGGTGCATGCAGTCCTTGGGGAGTAGGTGGCAGTGGGGAGGCTGTCCCCTGGGCCACCCAACAAGGTCTCCAGGCCTCAACCTGTCCCAGAGTTCACACAGTGCTTTTAGCGTGCTCTTTGCACTGCTTTCACCCCAACCAAAGGTTTAGCAGGTTCATTCTGGCTTAGCAGGCTCACGCTCTGGGACGCCAGGGTCTGGGATCCTGGACTGTCCTCGTTCCTCAGGTTTTGGACTTACACCTGGAGGGGGCTGAACAAGAGCTGCTCTGGCAAGAGCCTGGAGCTCTGCAGTGAGCGCGGGAACTCCTGCAGCCCCAGCGGCGCTGATTTACTCTGCTCAGGTCTTTGTTGGGAGCTGCTTTTTCATGCTGCCAATCTCTGTGTCATCTCTGTGTTTGAGCTTTCCAGCCAGCAGTGAAATAAGGTCTGTCAGCGAAACCACAGTGGGGGAGCAGGCTCGGTGTGTGGACACAATGGAAGTGTGTATCATTAAAGAGAGAATGGAGATTGACATAGAGGTTAAAGCTAAGGGCCCCCTGGTGCTGCTATCAAGGCTCTGAAATTGAAATGCGAAGTCCTGAGCCCCCCCCTCGCCCACCGGTTGGCAAAGGCTCTATTAGCAGAATGTGAGTAATCATCTTAAGTAGCTATCAAAGTGCAACAGCTTGTTAAGCATTTAGCCAGGTTGTGCTGACATGACCCCTCTCCTCAATCTTCCCCGACGCGGTGCAAGTGGCTAATTACTGCATCCCACCTGCCACACGCCTCCTCCCTCCGCCGTCTGAACCCTGCAGAAAGGACAGGTCGAAGTCGACGTGTTGCTTAGAACGAGTGCTTTCTCTTGACACCTTTCCCCACCTTTGCTGGTCGACAGCCGCACGGGAGTGGGGGACAGCCCCAGTTATGAGCAGGAACATTAATAACCAATGCCTCCGGAGCGAGGTGGCTGTAAGGGGCTCACAGGATTTGGTTGTGGTCAACATGCACACCCCCCCCACACACACACACCCACACACGCACGCATGCACAGAGCCGTTGCAGGTGCGGATCTGCTAGGAAGGAGTGAAGTGACCTCCTGGAGGCAGGTGTCTCATTGCTGTCACTGGCCAGCGGGTGGGCAGAAGAGTGGGTCTGGGAATATATGGTAAGGGCTGAGCAGCCCCATGATGGGGGACATCGAGGAGGAGTCACGTCCATAGGAAGAGGCTGAATCGAACCTGGGTCTTTGTCACTGATAATTGTCAGGACGACAAGGAAGGGGCTGAGCTGGGAGTCTCCTTACCATGTGGTCCATATGGAGAGCACGCTGGGAAAGGTCCCTGCCTGCAGTGATCACGTCCATGCTCATTGCTCTTATATTAAGGGTCTTTTGGGTGTATAGCCTTATTCTTCTCCCCCGCCTCCCCAAGAAAAGCAGCGGCTGCTCTTCTGTGCGTCCCTGGGAGCAGGCTGTGTGGGCGGGGGGAGGAAGGCTGATGCCCCATCCCTGCGGTCTCTGCAGAGACGCTGTTGACCGTTGTGCTGAGCATGGTTCCCTGCACACGTCAATACGGGGAGCTGGGCTCAGAGCCTGCCTGGGGCATTGCCTGAGCACCGCGTCTGCGCCACCGGAGACGGGGAAAAAAAGAGAAGAAGCAAAGGGAGCGGCCTCTGATGGAGCTTGTTTTGCTTTTCAGGAGACACGGCAGCATATAAAGATGGCGTTTACTGGATCAAGGGCCGCACCTCAGTAGACATCATCAAAAACGGCGGGTTTAAAATCAGTGCTCTGGAAGTGGAGCGTCATTTGCTGGCGCACCCTCACATAACAGGTACGGCGCTCTCCCCCGAGCCCCCTCGTCTCCGCCTGCCGTCACCGCGTGGCAGGCTGGGCTCAGGGCAAAGCGCTGCCCCTGCCGCGGCACCCGAGCAGGGATGCACTGCTCTGACCGGGAGCACGATGCCATGTCACTGTGCTGTGCCCTGCTGAGCAGAGAAAGCGGGTGGGAGCCCAGCTCGAGTGACAGCCCTGGCTCAGAGGATGCGGACATGAGGCTGCCTGAGGTTTCTTGCCTGGAGGCTGTTTCGCAGCCTTTCCATTAGCAAGGTTGGGTCTGTGTGAAGAGCGGACCGCATTCAAAGCCCGCTGTTACTTGTCTCTCGTGGCTGAAGCCAGGAAGCTTGCAGCTGGGTGCCGAGTCAGCAGCAGTGCTCATCTGATTTTAGAAATGAGACTCTAATTAAATCTATCCTGACCTTGTCTGTGACCCTGTACGAGGGGCTGGAAACCGTGCCCCTGGCTTAGCACAATTCTCTATTCTTCACTAGCCTCCCAGCTGACTCTAAATCACTCAAGCCATAGGGCTTCCTGCCTTTTCCATGGTGAGAAGCTCTACTCTTGGAGATTGTGTCGGCACAAAAGTGCCTGATATTTTCAGCCCCAGCCTGCTGTTCCTACTGACATCCCATACCACCTTCCTCCATGCGCTCTTCTTCTCTGCATACAGGTACTGCTGCCCAACTAACAGAGGTGCCGAGCCATCTCTTACACCCACCCTCTGATCACCAGAAATTGGTCAAGTTTCTCAGGCTAAATGCTCTGCTCTCTCTCCAGATGTGGCCGTGATTGGGCCCCCGGACATGGTTTGGGGCCAGCGGGTCAGCGCAGTCGTGCAGCTGCGCAAGGGGGAGATGCTCTCTGTAAAGGACCTGAAGGACTGGGCCAGGTAAGACTCCACGTGACACTGCATGGCGAGGAGCACTGCAGGGCAGGCTGGTGTGGATGGCAGGCGCAAGGCCTGCAACATCCTCATGAGGGGACTTGGTCATAAGAGGGATGAAGGGGTGGTCGGTGGCAAGCATCTGGCTGGAAGCAAGATGCAATGCCTCAGGCTCTGGGGCTGCAGAAAAGAACGCAGGTTCTACCAGGCAGTCACCAAGCACATGAGATAATGGAAATGAATAGGCCTCTCACCCCGAAAATGCCTTTGAGAAATGAGTCTGTTTGGTGCAGACAAGCGTCTCTTACTCTCACTCCACAGCAGTAGGAAGAGTGCTCCCAGAAGGTGCTTTGCAGTGCATCAGTGGAGCTGTCACCAGCCCAGAGCTCACCCACTTACAGAAAGCACAGCACAGCAGATAGCAAGCATTAAGGCATGGACGTGAGAAGGGAAGCTTCATATTTACTCAGAAACAAGAACATTTGCTCAGCTCTTTCCCAGTGCTGCTGCAGGCTTTCTTTGCTTGCCTTCCTACCAACTGGAAAGCCAACTCAGGCCAGTCCCCAGTTAATCCCAGAGACCTCCCCATGGGGTACGGAGCATGGGAAGACACCAACACTTGTGGGCCTTGCATGGAGGCATGACAGTACCCATTGGCCTGTGCCGTCATGGAGAGCATGGCACAAATCAGAAGCTTGCCATCCTGCAACATTTTCAGCGTGAAAGCCTGTGCCTCACTGTTCAAATTGGCCAAAGGGCGGCCAGTGCTGGGGTTTGGGACATGTGCTGCAGGAGGAGAACATAAGCAAGCCAGAGCCAGGGCTGGCAGACAGGAAGAAGAGTCACTGGGCTTATTGCTAATATTCCCTTAGCAGAATTTTTAACAGTGGATTCTTCCTTTTCCTGGCAACTCCCTCCTTCAGGCTGTGGATATTTTTGGCAAGGCTGGCACTATTTCATGAGCAGTAGGAGCACTTGTTTCATCAGGGGCTGCACAGCCAGCCTATTAAAGATTTCCCCTGGATTTGCAAAAATCACAGTTGGGGGACTGCGATTTAGCAAATGCAAGGAAGATGCTAGTTGGCTGGCTGCTGCTCTGATTAAACAGTTACTTCATGGGGGGAAGAGATTCAAACAAAGAAACCAAACCCACGTTGGTCGCTGCTTGGGCAGAGTGGCCAAGACCATGCCTTGGCATCCCTCCTGCTGGCACCTCTGCTTCCTGTGCACACGTGTTAACCCTCTGGCCACCAGTCCTCTGGGACTCCCGCTTCTCCCAGGGCAGCCCATGGCAGTGAAAAGCTTTGATTTCTTTGTGTTAATGCCCTCTTGCAATCTCTCCCTGAGACTCTCCTGCCTGTGTGGGCTTAACATGTCACAGTTGGTACAGATCCCCACCAGGTTAGCTGGTACTCAGGGCTGCTTCTTCATCTAGGACCCTCCCTGGCCCCCAGCACAGGGCCGGAGCAATGGAGAGAGGGGATGGAGAGATGGCAAATGTGTCGTGCGGTGCCCGCTCATCCCTGAGCTTCCCAGCAGGGATGTTGGTGTCTCCAGCAGGTCCCTTCGCCCTCACTCCATTATCTCATGACTCCCATTAACCCCTGCAGAGATGGCTGCCCAGAAAGGCCACCACAGCCCGCAGAAAGTGCCACTGATGCCAGAGCGTGCTGGGAGGCACTGCCACGCATGGTTGCTCTTTACCAAGTCACCTGGCTGTTGCTGTGGGGCTCTTTGACCCTGGCAGGGAGCTGTGTTTGGCTCCTCCCTGCACACCTTCCCCTCTCCCGCCAGGCTGGCCGAGCGGTCCAGGGAAGGCACGGCAGCACCAGCAGCACCTTGGTTGCTCCTGTTTTTTCTTGCCTGGTCCAATGCTGCCCTTCAATCCTGCCTGTTCCTGGGGGAGCAGGAGCTCTCGGAGCTGTGCTCCGGCACCTTTCGGCCCATCGCTGTTCCCAGCCCTCTTCAGGCTAGCCATGATGCTGTTTTGCCTCTGCAGAGCAAGGGTAGGAGCCCTTTAAACAAAAGCCATTTGAGACGTGGGAGGAGACAGCCAGCCGCTGTCTGGGGTCTTCAAAGGAGAGTGGTGCCCTTTGCCCATGTGCTGCCACGGTGCTGTCTCCAGGCACCACACTGGCTTCTCCCCTCCATCTCTGTCTCTCCCTCTCGCCCTGTCTCTCCCCTTTATTTTATATGTCACTTACATTTGTTTGGCCCTTTTCTCGCACTCACTGGCAGGAGACACATGTCCCTCTTCAGAGTGATTCATTTTGCTGCTTTCGCCTCCAATCTTGCTTCCCGGTGACAGGCGCCATCCTGAGTTAGAGCCATCCATATGGCAGGGGGTGTCGGTAGCGGGCTCGCGGGGAGGAGGGCCGGGGCGACGGTTGAAGGGCTCAGCAGACTTGGCATCTCGCATTAGGATCAGTGCCAGGACGCTGCCTGCCGGAGCTGGGCATGGCCCCAGGTCGGTGACACACAGGCAGCAGAAGGCAGGAGAGCCTCCCCCCGCGCACACACGCTCCTCAAAGGGCACGGGGACTTTGTGAGATTGCTCCACGCTCGGCCTCCCTCCCGCCGAGGAAGGAGGCCCCCGCAGGCCTGAACGTGAGCACTGCGCTGCGAACATGCGCCGTCGCGCATGGGGAGACGCAGCCTACCATCAGCGCACGCCGCGCGTGGGGAGGGGACCCACCTGCGATCTCGGACCTCTGGGACTGGGACTGGGATCAGGCAGCGTGTGCAGTTTCAGCTTCCTTGGTGCTACTGCGCTGTGTTTGCCCCTGCCGTTTCTAACGCGGAGGAACGATGAGCCTCCATTAGCAGCTCTGCCTCCTGCTCGCTTGCTGAAGGCTCTCTGTGCCCCCTCCTGATGGTGCGGGTGGGTGTTGTGGGGTGCTGCACTCAGAGACAAGCTGCCTGCAGCATGGGGCTGAGGTCACACCAGGAGACAGGATGGGGACAGCACACCTGTGCCATAGCTCAGGACGGGACAGAGCCCCGGGGCTGAGCTGCTTGGGGCTCCTGGGCCATGGCCGCGGTGTGGGTGAGGGCCCAGGTGAGGCTGATCAAGGCCATTAGGGCCTCTCATGGCTTGTGACAGCTGACATTGCAGACATGTCACTCTCCAGGTCATCTTCAGGCATCTGCTTACAAGCCCCGTACGTGTCAGCGCAGCGGAGGTCAAGCAGGCACCTGCCTGCGACACCTTCCTTGTGCCTCTCAGCAGATGTGTGATGACCTCCTTCCCTGCCCCGTGCCAGGGTCAGCTCGGAGCACAGCGGGTGGCTCCTTCCCCCTAGGCAGCATGGATCTTCATTGCTGCTCTCCCAAGAGCTCCACTGAGGCCTCAGGGAAGTCTGGCTACGATCTGTGCTCAACCAAAGCTGCTCATGCTGCAGCCGCCTTTGGCTGTCTCCTCCAAGTGAGGGTGCAGACTCATCCACTGCCCCGTGCGCAGCTCCGGTCGAGCCGCTCAGATGCCGTGCAGACGTCAAGGACACTCACTTTCCCTGCTGGTAGGAGGTACGGGAGTCACGTTGGTCCCCATGGACAGCAGTGGTAAGGGCTGTCGCTGCTGCAGGCATGCATACAGACACACGCTCTGCCGAAAGAGTGGTCGGCCTGTGTCTGGCCCGAAATGGTGCTGTGTGGGAAAGCCATGGCTGGGTTTTCTCACTTGTGTGCTGTGACTAGCTGCAGAATGCAAGTCTGCTGCCAGGACTGAGCGAATCTCCCCCAGATCCAGGAGAGCCTTGTGGCATTTGAGAGCTCTTGGGAGAGACTTTGTAAGCTAGAGGGGCTGGAAGCACAGGTTTTGGTCAGCTTTAATGGACTATGTTTCTGTGCTGCAGAGAGACCATGGCACCTTACACCATCCCCACAGAACTGATCGTGGTGGAGGAGATCCCGCGCAATCAGATGGGAAAAGTCAACAAGAAGGAGCTCCTGCAGCGCTTTTACCCAGCCTAGCGCCCAGCCTCAAGCCAGGCCAAGGAGCTCTGGGGTGCTTCGTCCTTCACCGCATCCATTTCCAGTGGCTCGCTTTCTAAAACGATGCTGACTGGTTACCAGCAGTGATGAGCAGTGGCAGTTCTGGGCTCACTGCAGTGGTCACAGTCTTGTCCATGGAATAAAGTCCAATAAAAGCAGGATTCATCCCACGTAGTCTTCTCTGGCTGAACTGACCTAGAGCTGCAGGTTCACCTTCCTTGCATAGGAGCACATAACCCTGGAGGGAGGCAGCTGAAAGCATCCTGGGGATGCTCTGCTCCAAAAGTGCGTAAGGAGGAGGTGGCCCGTGCCCGCCTGGACCACCCCGTGAAAGGTGATCTGTCTCTGCCAGCTGCTGCGGCTATCGGCCACTGAGGTGGCAGGTCTCGCTTGTGCCAAAGCACACACAGGTGAGCACAGGGTTCATCTCCTCCCAAACTGAAGCCACATGACGAGTCCCTCCACATCCGCCTTGAGCTGCTCCGTGCAGCCCAGCACCTGGGCCCGGGGTGCAGATGGACCCCACTGGCCCCGGTGAATTTGGAGGTATGTTGAGGGTGGCTAGGGTGATACCAGGCTGTCAGACCCCGTTTCTGGGGTGGGAAAGTCCATCCAGGAACGCCTGGCTCCTCCGCCTTGTCTGCATCTGGCTCTCTGGACGCTCATCCTGGTGCTGTTTATAGCTCCCAGCCACAGGCCACATGCAACTCATCCCCAGATGAAATTACTCTTCAGATTAAACTCCTGTCTGCAGCCAGCTGCAGTGATGCCTGGTAATTTTGCCTCCCTTTCTGCCCTTTCCCACGGACTCCTTGACTTTCCCCATAGATGACTGGTTTATAAAGAGGACGAGCGGGAGAGCCAGGGAGAGCAGCGGGTGTCCCTCGCTGGAGGGAGCCGGGTCGCGGCGGGGAGGCCTATGACCTGCTGCAGACCGATGCCTGTGCATCCCCGGGTGCCACCCACCGCCACCTCCTGTTTCCCCACACCTGTGAAGAAGCAGTAATTAGACGAGCACAAATAAATACAGACAGCACTTAATAACACAGCCACCCAGGGGCTCCCCGGCGCCGACGGGGCTCCCCGGCGCGGCGCAGCGGCCGGG